CTGTGCGACACCTACCGCGACCGCGCCCGCTTTTGTGCGGTCCACACATCACTCAACACGGGCGCACTTATTTTTGTGCGGATCGCGTGAGTGAGTTCCGGGACCTGCAACCCCTGTAGACCTGCTACAGCTATGATTTTTGCACTAAAACATCTCGGAACCTACCCGGAACTCCCAGAACTTCGAACCAATTGCACCAACACATCCCATGACATCGTTCAAACTTGCTCAAAACTTCGGAACGCTCACAACAACATCAAATCACCAATTTAACATAGGATTCAAGCCTAAGAACTCCAAGAACTCTTAAATTATGCTTTCGATTAAAAGGCCTATCAAATCTCGTCCGAATGCCTTGAAATTTTGCACACAACTCCCACATGACAAAATGAAGCTACTGCAACTCTCGGAATTCTATTCCGACAACAATATCAAAATCTCGCCTATCAATCGGAATTTGGCGAAATATCAATTTCGCCAATTCAAGCCTAAATCTTCTCTACAACTCCAAAACCTATTCTGATCGCGCTCCTAGGTCACAAATCACCTCCCAAAGCTAACCAAACCATTGGAACTCACTTCCGAGCCTTCTAACACATAAGTCAACACCCGGTTGACTTTTCCAACTTAAGCCTTCTTAAAAGAGACTAAGTATCTCATTTCTTGCCAAATCCTCTCCGAACTCGAACTAATCAACTCGATCACATAAAACACAGATAACGAAGCGTAAAGAAGCTAAAATGGGGGAAATGGAGCGGTAACTCATGAGACAACTGGCCGGGTCGTCACAACACTTGCATTCCTGAGAGTTTTGTTTTGGTAAAAGATATTCAACAAGAAGTAATTCTTGGAGTCTCATTTTTTATAAAATTAATGTCGTTTTTATATTGGGATACAAAGAGTTTTACTGGTACTTATAATGGTAAGAGTATCACTTTTGAGTTTATAACTGAGCCAGTTCAAAGATTTTTGAATGAGATTATTTCTAATAATATTTCTTCAAAAGTCAATCAAATTGAATTTTTGAAAAATGAGATTTGTTCCATTACAATAGAATAGGATTTAAAAAATCCCAAGCTACTAGAAAAGATTAATTTTCTCAAAAATCAATTTGCTGCTTCTATATGTGGTGACCATCCGAATCAGTTTTGGACTAGAAAGAAGCATATTATAAGTCTTCCTTATGAAGAAGACTTTTCTGAGGATAATATCCCTACCAAGGCTCGACCTTGTCAAATGAACTCCGATTATTTGGAGTTATGCAAGAAGGAAATTGATTCCTTAAAGCATAAGGGTTTAATTAGACCCTCAAAGTCCAAATGGTCTTGCACTGCTTTTTTTGTTAATAAACATGCGAAACAGGAACGAGGAGTTCCTAGATTAGTTATTAATTATAAACCCCTTAATAAGGTTTTAAAATGGATTAGATATCCCATTCCTAATAAGAAGGATTTACTTGATAGATTACATGATGCCATTATATTTTCAAAATTTGATTTAAAATCAAGTTATTGGCAAATTCAAATATTTGAATCAGATAGATACAAAACTGTTTTTAATGTACCAATGGGTCAGTATGAATGAAATGTTATGCCCTTTGGTTTAAAAAATGCACCTTCAGAATTTCAAAAATTATGAATGATATTTTCCTTCCTTATACGGATTTAATAATTGTTTATATTGATGATATTCTAGTATTTTCAAAAAAATATAGAATCTCATTTCAAGCATCTTGATTTATTTAAAAAGATTATTATACAAAAGGGTTTAGTTATATCAAAACCGAAAATGATGATTTTCCAAACTTCTGTTAGATTTTTGGGTCATAACATTGAGAAGGGTAGGATTATCCCCATTAATAGAAGTATTGAATTTGCATCTAAATTCCCCGATAATATTACTGATAAAACTCAGCTTCAAAGATTTTTAAGAAGCTTAAATTATATTTCCCTTTTTATAAAGGACCCTGCTAAAGACACTGCTCTTCTTTATGAAAGATTAAAGAAGAATTCTAAAGCTTGGACTGACAGTCATACTGAAGCAGTCAATAGAATTAAGCAGAAGGTTAATAACCTCCCTTGTTTGACTCTCGCCAATCCTACTTGGGAAAACGTTGTGGAAACTGATGCCTCTGATATTGGTTATGGCGAAATACTGAAACAATGTTCCCCTGTAGATAAATAGGAATACCTTGTTCAATTTTATTCTGGTAAATGGAATAACTCCCAGAAAAATTATGCAACTGTAGCTAAAGAAATTCTTGCTATTGTTAAATGTGTGATGAAATTTCAGACTGACTTATATAATCAGAAATTTATTATTAAAACTGATTGTCAGGCTGCTAAATTTATCTTTAATAAAGATTTCAAGCATGATGTTTCCAAACAAATGTTTGCAAGGTGACAAGCTTTATTAGCCCCTTTTAATTTTGAAATTATATACAAAAAAGGGTCTGATAATACCCTTCTTGATTTTCTTACTAGAGAATACCTGAACTAATAGTTCTTCTACTTTGTATACAGATTATGAGACCTACATACAAGCCTCCTCGGCAACGAGGAAGAGGAAGGGCAGCTACTAATAGCAAAGATAATAATATTCTTGTCCAAATGGGAAATCAAAAGCTTATAGCTGCTAATATTACATAAGGTAATACCGAACATCCATTATACAAGGAATTTATGGATTTTATAAAATCCAAAAAAGATGAAGGTACGTCATCATCTAATGTACCTACATACTCCTCAATTATATCAGAGGATGCTAATGACAATTTTGAGACTTATAGTCAAAAAGAATCCAAAGAGTTAATAATTCTTTTGGAACAATCCGACCTTAAATGGAAGGATAATCCTTGGAAAATTATGGCAAGATACTTTGATACAGTGTCATACGCTGCTCCTGCATACAAATACAGAATGCATTATGAGATTATACTCTCAACAACAGGATCTGCAGATA